GCTCTTAGAAGTATATATTATATATATATATATATATATATCAGGCGTTCTTGTTAACTTTTGACAAAGCAAGGTAATTTGAAATGAATAGCAGGTAACTGTTTTCGGCGGCACAGACGGTAGGGCGAGCGGCGAAGGCGGCGACAGCCTTGCTGGGGGGGGGGGGCCTCGCGGGCTTGCACCCCCGGAAAAAAAATTCTGATTTGAACCACAAATAGCCTATTTTGATGGGTATGGATTCTAGAATTTGGTAGTTTAGATAGGAAAATATATGCTATATAAAAATATATATATATATATATATATATATATATTTTTATATATATCTATTATAAAAAGAAAAACGCCGCCGTGCACAGAGTTAGTCTTGGCTTGGAAGTATTTAAAATAAACCTACAATAACACACACGAGAGTCCTGTAAGCTACAATAACACACACGAGAGTCCTGTAAGCTACAATAACACACACGAGAGTCCTGTACAATACAATAACACACACGAGAGTCCTGTACGATACAATAACACACACGAGAGTCTTGCAAGCTACAATAACACACACGAGAGTCCTGTAAGATACGATAACACACATGAGAGCCCTGGACGACATAACACTAGCCGGGAAAGTCCTATACGATACAACAGTAGTCACGAGCGCTCTATACGAGGCGATCCTATGAGTATCAGCGGAGGTTCTACCAGAAGCCCTTCGCCTAACTGGATACACGCTGGTGGTAGAAGCCAGTCGAGTGATAACGACATGATACAAGCGAATTCGACTGCTGTCCATATGAGTGCTACCTGTGCAGAGGATGACAGGAAACACCGGCAGACCATCCCGAGACAGCACTCAACAGATTGCGAAGAAATGTCCGCCGCACACTTGGTAAGTTGGTTCGTGGGTATTCTTACCAGCTTGCTCGAATTCAAGTTGACTTCACACCGTTGTCTAAACAGAAAAAAAGCACGTGTAAATGCGACCGTCGTCCAAACTAGATTATACACCTCGAACGATGGCTGCCTTACCGTTATCAAGTGCAAATAATACCAGGTTTATGAATTTTGCGTTTGCACAAACTAGTAGGTTTTTGGCAATTTCACGTAAACGCTCATAATTGCATAACCAATACAATATGTGCCTCCCTTTTATTTTAATATTGCCCTTTTCTGCTTACAAATGCTTTACTTCTTATGAAGTATTGCTTTAATATCAAATGCATTGCACAATAGCTCTCATGGGATTTGGTGGTGTTTATATAACAGCTAATATAGTGATTACAATTATTGTTGTTGGAATTCTAAGCAACGTATATTTTTCACGATTATTCTAGAAACAAGTCAGTAAGTGCTTTGTCAGTTTTTCTCCCCAGAGTTTGTTTCCATCGGAGCCAAACAAATATAATCTTATAATGGTCATTTCCACGGTAACTTCAACAATCTATCGCTTCGCGTGATATAAGTCTATAGTCTTGTTCTTTTCGTCTAGTTCTTTACAAATTTCTGGTGTGCTATTAACAGTAAGTAAGTATTAGCCAGCTATACGGCAGCAGGCATTATGTATGTTATCAGTTATTATATCTAATGTGTGTAATTCAATTTGCTCGGTATATACCAGAACAACGTAAAAACGTTATTTGATCTCGTCTCGCGTACACTAGGACTACGAGGTTTCTTTGCTAAAAGAGGACAACAGTCTCGGATTTACCGTAACTATCGGAGAAGGGGAAAATGTCTGCGTCATCCGTAATGTGTATGATAACCCGGCTGCTTCAGATGGTCGGTTACGGCGAGGCGACGTCATTTCGGAGGTAACTATACAGGCGTATCTCATCTATACAAGGCGTGATCAAAATATTCGGTGACCGTTTTCACCATAAATATCCTGTAATACGCATCTATCAGCAATATATTGCGACGTGATGGGCAAGTGCAAAGCCACGTGATGCTCCAGCTATTTCGTGTATATATTTGTTTACTAATAAATGCGTGACGATTGGTGGCATCAACTGTTGTAGCTAATTAATGCGCTAACCTTCCGCATTTAACTATACGAACGCAATTGCCTCACAACTGCAATACTGGGAGATTTAACGCGTCAGTATTGAGGTGAATGTCATTCACCTTCGCTATGCGCCTAATTGGGTAATAATTGCGTCCTAATTATTGTAGACCCAATCATGTAGCGTTTCGTACAGCTGCTCAAGGAAAATAGTACAGTCAACCAACCGGAAAAACTCCCCGGGTTCACAACCGATATACTACATATATATTATATATATATATATGTGCGTGTGTGTGTGTGTGTGTGTG